AATGACATGAGACAAAGTATATGTGAACTGCTGTATGAAAAGTGAATTTACTCTGTAAATCTTCACCCAAATCCTAAAAAAAAAAAAAGAGTGGCATAAAACCATGACTATGTAAGGACAGAGGAATGTGGTTCTTTAATCTTGTAAGGTGCCACAGGTATGAATGTTTTGGTAGAAATAATACTCTACCTTTTATGATGTTTACTATGTAATTCTGTTATGCCCACAAGAAACTTAAGCATTTGAGGGAAAGTAGTATGGTTTACCTATCTTTGAAGCTCCTTTAGTTCTCCGCAAACAGAAAATACTCAACAAAAATGTCAAAACATGCACACGTACACTTCTAGTTCCAGATATGGAGAATTTAAAACTCTTTGAATTCTGGAGATATGTCAGTGAAAAACCCTTCACACTTATATCACATCTCAAAGGGGCCAAGAAACTCTAGTTCTGTGAATCACTTCCCACATTAACATGTTACTAACCTTATTTCTCAGATATCTAGAAGAGCTTTTAATATTAGCATTCAGATGAGAAACATGAATCAATTTTTCAACTCCAGCTTCCTTGGACACTTGAGCAATTGCTTGGGGAATCTTCACAAAGATATCCTCAAAATCAAAGTTTCTGGAAGAACAAAGAAGAAATCTGTTAAGAAGACCAAAGAGAATCAGGATTTCAAAGTTTTTAGGATGAGCTGGCTTTCATTAAGTGTTTAATTCACATAGTTAAACTTTTAAACTGCAATGATTTAACCCAAAGCCCAAATTAATGTTATTGGGTGTTTTTTTATTTAATTCTACAGTTTTGCTCATTGTCATTACTATACAAAATTTATTTCTTATTATCAGTTATAAATCCATTATGTGGAATATTCTGTGTCTTCAAGGCATCCAGAGGCTGAGGTCCTTTAAATCACCTGGGTGCACTGGTGGGAAGAGTATGTTAGAGAACAGTGAGGGGAATCACTTCTTGCCACTGCACCTTAGTTTCCTCAGGGGAAAAAAAGAAAACTAAAAAAAAAAAAAAAAAAACAGTCACTGATTCAATTCTACAACATTACCTAAATGCTTACTCTGTAAAAGGCACTGTATCAGTCACTATAGAAGATATTTATGACTAGAACCAGTAGTGAATTACTTAATATAGCCCTTCTAGCCAGTCCCTGAAGACTCCCACCAAATGACTGGGTGAGACTATGCGAATAAGGTGTTGTGGATAGCTTACTAATAATATAAATAAGGTATGTGGTACTCTTCTGCGGGTGGGACCATGAACATAAGGGACATGGAACCCTAGCAAGTAGGACTAGTTTTGCCATCCCACTAAGCCTAAAATGTGTCACCCTAGAAGTAGGAAGGGGAACCTGACTACCACTAAGAAGAGACAAGAGCAGAGCAAATCCTTTGATCCAGGGTCCCTGTGCTGGGAACCTCCTAAACCCAAGAAACAGAGAGCTATCATACTAGAGATGGCAAGAGATGGCCAGCAGCAGTGGCAAAGAAACAGTGGCAGAAGAGGCAGCAGAACTAGGAGACTGGCAGATGACAGCACAGTGGGCTTCCCAGCCCATGGAGCAAGAGAACTAAGTGCTTTTAAGCATGGGTTTGCTGGTGGGTAAGGTGCCTCTAGGCACTTAGGGGGGCTAGGCTCACAGACCTACAGAGAGAATGCACTGAGCACCTTTGGGCGGAGGCTTACTGGCAGAGTGAAGTAACTCTAGGCACTTCTTGGCAGAGCTAAAGAGTTTTTAAGTTGCCTGAGCAGGGCAGAGCTGGGCCGAGGGAGTCAAGAGGACTGAGGGAACAGGGGCCAGGGAGAGTCAAACACAACTGAGATAAGGCTGTCCTGACTGAAGAACTGTAACCTGAATTGTTTCTGATTCTGAATTACAACCTGTTACTTCCCTAATGAATGCTATAACTGTGAGGCTCAAGGGTGAGTTCTGTGTGGCCCCTTGTAGTGAACAAATGTAATAATAAAATAAAAGTATGTTAACATAAATGAGAAATATGAGTTATAGTAAGCAAATGTTTAAACAAGTGTGATGATAAAATAAGGATGTGACAGAAGTAACGAAGGGTGTGGACAAGCTAACAGAAATAATCATAAAAGACAGAACAAGGCTGGTACAGAAAGACAAGATGGGAAAATGCTGATTATGGAGTATAAAAGGACAAACAGAATGGTAGTTCGTCATTCGGAGCAATATCACAGGTATCACATGAGCGATAGTCTGACTCCCTCAGCAGAGTGGCTAAGATGAGCATCATCTCGAGAAGGTGCCCAGGTCTGGTGGGGGAGACTCCATTTTCAGGCAGGCAGTCCTGAAAGTGATTTCACTCTTAACCCACACGTTTGCAGTGTGGTACTCTATCTGCTCGGAGCACCGAAGGTGTCAGCAAGGTTAAGGTAATGGCTGTCAGTGGCCAACTGGGTAGTAGCTGGCACACTGTGGGAACCTCCAGTGAAGGGGAACAATCGGCGGCAGCAGTTCATCCAGTATAACCCTGTGCTGGCCCCACTGGGTCTCTTCCATCTAGACACCTGTTGCCCAAGAAGTCCTCGCTTGCAATCTAAGCCTATACACTCCCAGTGTGGCACTACTCCTAACTCCTCTTGTGAAGTCTAATAGAGCAAACACCGATATTACCACGACCAAGGTGAAGAAGGCGTCACTACAGACCTCATCACAAAAACTGCAGGCATTGGGATCATCCACAAGCTCGTCCCTGACACCAGCTAATAAGTACTAACTCTGTTTATCTACTCTTGCTTGTCCAAGTCCTTCATGTGTGGAGGCAGCCACTCTTGGTTTGGTGATATTCTTATGTATTAATAAACCTGACATTGTGGAAAGACATAAATTTTGAGTAGAGTGATCATTCGTCACCGCTTGCTCAAAACACCACATTGAATTATCAAACTCAGCAAAATAGAAAATGCCATGAGAGAGGACAGCTGGTGTCAGAATTGGTAAAAAGGTTGAAGAGAAGAGGTACATATGACCTCCACCTCATAGAAATCAACTTTGGGCTGTTTATCTTGATTCTCTCTCCCCCCTCAAAAAGTTAGGGGAGGTTAGACAACTCCACAACATCATTTTTACACTAGATGACCCTCCAGTCATCAAAGATGAGACAGACATGTAAATAAATTTAAGTCCAACTTTAATAAATGCTCTAAAAGAGGTAAAAATAAAGTGTTGTTGGACTATAGGAATAAAATATTTGATGACAACTCACACAAAGGCTAAAAAGAATTACTCAAACCAGTTGTTGCTGTTGTTGTTAGGTACCGTCGAGTCGTTTCCAACTCATAGCGACCCAATGCACAGCAGAACAAAACACTGCCCGATCCCGCGGCAGCCCCACAATCCCTGCTATACTTGAGCCCATCATCGCAGCCACCGTGTCAATCCATCTCGTTGAAGGCCTCCCCCT